ATCAAAAAAGAGATGCTTCACATGCCATTAAGCGCTTGTTCAACATCTTGTCGATATACTCTGACTCCATCCCAATTAAATAATAATTAATTGCATTTGCTTCCCTTTTCGCCTGATAAAGTCCTCATTTGACGGCGCGCTATCAACGCAGGTTAAAGCTTCTGCAATCTTTTCTATTCTACGCTCTTCGCCTCCATCTCTAGCCAGGCGATATCACCACCGGGTCGGCCAGCTTGTTTCGTTTATCTGAAGTAAGGTCTATGGTCTGATGAAGTTCAAACAACGTTTCTTGAAATCCACTGGTTCTCAGAAGAACCACGTGACTTGTGTTTCTCCTCATGGCGTTGCAGACGGCAAAGAGCAAGTGCAGTCCACTGCGTTCGGTACGTGATCCGAGAAGGAGACATTGCACTTCTTCGAGGTACTGCTCCTAGAGCGCCTACCAACTCATTCTCGTCGATTACCGCAGTCGACCAACCTTCAGTTCAGCAGACCAAAACGGCAGTTGAATGGAACAGTTCCCTTCTCGTTCACATAGAAAACGCACCGTTTTTCAATACGGTTAAAGCAGGCCCATGATGCTTTCCCTCTCGTCATTTCACCGTATGGTAAACTTGATGTTGGAGGCATACACAGCTGGTGATTTACTGCTGATGTAGAAAAAGAGTACAAACGCTTTAATGTTCTATAAACTTTAACTTAGCACCAATCCTTATATCGCCTGGGCTTCTGTAGAAAGATTTATGAGAAATTATGCCCTAATAACTTTAAATCATCATTGCTTTCTCAAACGATAGAACTGCCTCAGTTTGCCTACTGTATACAACACCATGAATCACAAAGCGACAAATCAACGAAATCAGCGTTTACCTCCTCCTTGTAGCGCACGGCGTACGTGAGCAGCTCGCATACGGCAGTCTTGCTGTTCAGCTCCGGGCTGAATAAGCTCGAAAGATTGGCCATCTGAGCGTTCAGTTCCTGTTCACTAACAGGTGGTAGGCGTTTGATACCTGAGTAAAAGCGCGAAAAGGCGGCCCGGTAGCGGGGCAGGTCGCGAGCGAACAACAGCTTGTTCGACGGTGAGTCTTTGCCCAAGCGTTGTTCGGACATCGAACAGGCATCCATGAACGTCTGAGCGATGACCGACAGACAGGCATCGACGGTTGGCGTCTTCTCGACGTCGTAAACGAAGTCCGGGTTCTTGATGACGTTCACCCAGAAGCGTAGCGGCAGACTGTTGTTCTTCCAGGCAAGCACGACTCCTGACGCGTCGCAGAAGTCGTGCAGACCGGACTCGTGCTCGAAGAAGTCGAACAGGTACTTCACCGGGGCTGGAAAATCAGCTGTGACCCGCAGCGCGTTGTAGAAGAAATCGTCGATGAATTTCTGCACCGTACCCTTGGTGCTTAGCAGCCTGGTCAGGTAGATCTCAGGTATGAGCGACGGCGAACCGCGGCAGTTCGAACTGCCATCCGGTTTGCTCAGGTGCCAGTAACGTACACCACGCTCTAAGTTCTCCACCGAGTTCTGGTAGCCGTAGATCGATGCATGTACGTAACTTTCGTTGAATGAGTCCCGAGACAGCAGGCGAGAGCAAGAGTCGATAGAGGCGTACGTATGCATCGTATCTCCTGAAACAACGATAACTATGTATTTAGTAAGGAAGAACCACAGTAAATCGGAATATTACATGATAATTTAATCTATTCTGAGTATAAATTAGGTTACTGAATACTAAATTAAACATTTTACCGCTACATGCACATCCTTGGTATTACGTCCACTATTTACGGAATAAGCTTTCAGATCCGAGGAGTACCGCTGCATAGACATCGTGCAAGTGAAGATGAAAGCACAAAATTTCAATTGAAATTTTCCATTTCCAACATCATATAGTAAGAACATTTCTGAAACTATTTCCTTCATACTCTAACCTCATAAATCAGACCATGATTAGAATATACTTCTATAACTCTCGCCTGAATTTGGCATTTCTTTTAAACAAATTATTGGAACAGTTATTGGCAATACATAAAACTGCATTAATAGACATATCTCAGAGAACGACTTCACTTACTTAAGAAACTTAATTTTACTACTTTAAAAGGTTGCTTTAAAGTTAAATAGTCTAGGATAAATCTTAAATACGTCATCCCAGGAAAATAGGACATGAGGACAAAAATACAAATTATAAGTACAGCTGTAAGCAAGATAGTAAATAGAAAAGCTTACAACCAACGGGAGATGGGTGTCCTTGATATCTCTTTCACTTACTTGTCGAGCTCTTCTTTCAATGAAGCTTATGGTGCGGCGCTGATCTCCGTCTTTATCAATCAGCCAGGAGTGCCATATTTTAAGGCGGAATCTACAGCTGAGGCATACAGAAAGTGACAATTACCACAGAGTGGAGCTTATTTAGTAACCTCGCAAGAAAGAAAGACGAGTCACTCAATCGACGCTCGAACTCAAGACCTTATAGGGACAGACTTAGATGCAGTTTTCCCTAGGTCTATCTGAACAGCTTCTGCGCTGCATGCATCCAGACTGGTGATTTAGACTTGATCGTTGTCTCGTTGTCTCCTGCACGCATATGTAATGAGTACTTCTTTTATCCTCAGTTTTCAGCAGTTAGTTCTGCGCCACGCTCTTCTCACTGTTAAACTTCTTTCGATCCATTTGATGCAGTGATTTTCTTCCCAGTGGAAAAAAAAACGTAATAACATCGTCAAGCTTGAAACTGTAAGACTGTTCTTTTCGAACTTACAACCACTCTTGACTTCACGTCTGAAGCGAGGCATGTCTGACAGGCAATCAACACCCATATCCACAAAATTACCTCCACACATTCCTCCGGAGGATTTTTTCAGGTTGACGACGATCACAGCGCCGTTCGAGATATGGTAATCACCCAACGTATTCAGCTTGCACCAACTGTCTTTGGACGTCGCGTTGAAGTAGTCATGATCATGTAACTTGACGCAACCTTTGACGTTGTCGTGCCATTCTGAAAAGTTCAGCGAAACGTTAAACCGTTTTAAACACCAGTTTATGACAAGCGGGTTTGAATAACCATTACCTAAATCTACGTCGCGAAGGACCGGTCGTGACCTGAACGGAGTATTGCGATAAAGGCAGTCAAGAACCTTTGATTTGACCTCGTTGATAGAGTCGCAAGACAACACGCGGCACGAGACCATCCCCTCAGCATTGTGAGTCTCGGCACAAGGAGGTATCACCCTTAGCATAAGAGGTTCGTAGTCGATCTGTTCCTTTAACAAACGGTCCTCCGACAACGAGTATCTGGCGTTCGCTGTACATTCGTCCACCGGGCCTTTCTCTACTTGGTGTTTCAGAGCAGTATACAGCAGGAACAGTGACCCTCCAGCAGCTCCTTGCTGAACGTAATCATAAAGGCAGAGAGCGATCCAGTTCGCCAGCATCTTCTCCACCACCGACTCGGTTCGCCGCAGCATCAAGTGCGGAAATTTTTCCTTCGCGGACCTGGCGATCAGCTGTCTCAATAAGAGTAGTACCACTTCGGTCAGGTACTGCATATTCCTGATCAATACTACGGTGATTAGCGAAGCGACGTAAACCTTGTCCGACGCAGCGAAACGGGCTTGGGATTCCAAGGCCGTTACAAACATCAGTACAAAATGGGGATTCCACAGAAGCTGCTCAAAGTGATCCACAGAACTGTCGAGTGGCACAGTGTACCTAAGAAGACGAGCGAGTTAGATGTGAAGCAAAAAAATTACGTCATAACTTTGTTACAAACTTACTGCTTCGCAATGGTATAGTTTCCTGTCATCAGCTTCAGCGCTGTCTGATGTTCTTCCTTGAAAAGAATTTTCATAGCG